TATGCAACTTGAAATTAACCTGAATTTCTTGAACATTCATAATCTGCAGTCTCTTGTACATTTTGAGAATGTAGGAGATGTTGCAAATTGTGAATATAAATGTAATTCAAGTTGCACTTTTTATCAAGAAAACAGGCACATTACAGAATGCAGTTGCTAGAAATGTTTTGCCCTTGATAACATTATTTATGACTGTTATGTTTGGAAACTAATAAAATAAGTAATCGATATTCAGTCACCAGAGGCAGCTTGGGTACACGGGAAGTTTCGAGAACCTTGAAATCGAGCAGAAGCTGGACGTGTACGCGTCCATACTGGAGAGATCGGGCAGGATGAGTGTCCTTGCGGCCTACAACAACGAGCTGACGACGACAGGTAAGTCGGGCGATTATGATGACGTGGACACAAAGCCCGATGACTCCAAGGCCACCTTCGACTTGAACGTCCCGGTCAAGGCCTCAGCCGTGTTATACTCTCGGAAAATGCCGAGCCTTGGTTCGGCAGCCATGTTCCTACTCGACATTGGGATGATTGTCTGGGAAGTCTACTCGGCCGACCACTCGTTGACCATGGCTCTTAGGGAGGCTTTGATATTTGCGGCTGAACTCGGAGGAGCCGCGTTGGGGAAGTTGGTGGGTGTGTCGGTGGCCTCCGGGCTGACGGGCATGGCGGCCACCACGCTTTTCGTGACGGCTGTTGGCCTTGTAACCAGCTTTGTTGGGGCTTTTATAATCGGGGCGCTTGCCGGGTTTTTGTTCGACCGGATATTCAGTACGGGAGGCCAAGCGCCGCTGCCGACTGATGGCTTTGTTGTCTACGTGGCGCCTATGCCCAATGGGCACCAGATTGCGAGACAGATTGCCTGAGTTTTGATATCCAATATATGTATGTGTGTGTATATGTATAATAAAAACCCTGCCTATATATGGGCTTGGGTCTTGAGTTGTAATCCTTCCTTCCAATGCTCTGCTCTGGTCTGGTGTGTGTGGCAGTGGGAGGATATATATGTTGTACAATAATGTTGTGAGAATAACAAGTACTCTTCTTGTGTGGAAACATGACAAGTATGTTGGACTTTTTTTAAGGCGAAAATTGGGTGGGTTTTGATTGATTGACTTATTTTTTAGAAAAGTATATATGTTAATAAAATTTGTTAAAAACCACTCGTGAGAGGTTGGGATGATGAAAGTTGGATTATCTAAATTTATCGTGAACATCGATGTGGAATGATCATGGGGTGAAAATTGAATTTGTGTATAATGAAAAGTTGAGTGAACTGATGATTATATATTGTGCTAACATTTTTTTAGGGTACAATCGCATTGACCAGACGAATCCATAGAAAGGTCATGCGATTGGAAACGGCAAAGCTTAAATTAGGTAGATAGAGAATGGGTTAAAATAATTTTGAACAAAAACATTGAGTAGGCAGACAAATACTGATTGAGCTAGAATTTTGTGGGTATAACCGCCTTAATGAGAAAAATCTTACAATGGATCAAATTTATGTCGGACAACACCAAATGGCCCCCAGACAATCAAATTTATGTCGTTTTATGTGAGAAAATAAAACTTTTTGCGGAGTGCAATAGTTTTTATTATCCTCTAATTATTCTATCCTTCCATACTAAGATATGAAACTTTGAAGATGGATTCACTTACTGAACCAGCTGTAACTTGAATTTGGATTTCGGTAACGTTAATCTCACCATGCAAATATAGTTTCGTGGACGAGGGTGTGCTGATTCTAAGAGAAAAAGATGTCCATGATAGGAAGGTTTTATGTTGTTATCTGTGTGTTTGAACACCCGCAGTCTGCTGTGGGTTCAGAACCACTTTGGAAGAGTTTTCGGGAAAAGGAATCTTCAAGGCAAATTCGTGAGAGCTCGTGAAGCCATTGGAGGGAATCCGTGTCAGCATTAGAAAGTCGAGGGGAGTTTCGGAACGAGTATTGATGAGAGAGTATAGACTAGGCAAATTTTGAAGGATTTCAACTTGTAAGACAACAATTGTACTATGAAAGGAGCTATTATACGGTTCGTGTTCAACTAGAACATAATTTTGGTCTCTGTGATTTGAGATGGATTTTCGTAGTTCCACTCCATATCCTCTTCAATTAGATGAATTGAACTACAGCTATTGGAAGACCATGATGACTGCCTACTTTAACGCTCAAGGTCAGGTTGAACGAGTTGGGCGTGTTGACCCGATCTTGGGTGGGTCTCGGATCTAATGAAAGGAATGGTTCTCGGGTTTTGTGTTAGGGTAGAAATAAGGCAGCCCTTGTAGCTTTTGATGGGAGTATTTTGCTGACTCTTTTATTTTGTAAATATGGTTTTCTGACTCTCCACTGAAGCTGCTAAGTGTGGCTACGGATAATCCGATTACGGTTGGTGGGTAGACAGATTAAATTATCTATTTTGTTGTGGTTAGGTTATTCTACTGCTCTGTAATTTTTGTAATTATGGACTGTAAATTTTGTAATTATGTGTACTTCCTAAAAGTGCAGCAATCAGACTACATGATTCGTATAATCGTACTGCTTTGTTCACCCAAGTGAAATTTATATGAGTTCCATGTTGCATATTTTCATGATTTAAATGCATGCTTGAAAGTTAAAACACTGTTGAGAAACTTAATAATGGTGGGCCAAAAAGTACATACCTCCTTTTCAAAGGAAACTCAGCATGCTCATCTACCTCATCCTCAACCCTCGCCGGTTGCTGCCTGGCCGGAAGCCCGACTGTTCCTCCAGCTCGCCTTCTTTAAGTCCTTCGAGCTCAGCCTCCAATTCAATCTTTAAGAATATCCGAAAGTCCTTCGAGAAAGTGAAAAAGGACACAATTCAGAAATTTCAACACTTCTTTAAGAATATATCCGCAAGTGCGTAAAGTTTATACAGCATAGAGCAACATAATTAGAGAAAACTAGGCACTGGTTGAAGTACAATGCCATAGAACAAAATTGTTGACCATAAACTAATGTTAAGTGATTCCCAGGACATGGATTGTGTAGTATGGTTCAGTTTATGGAAGCAAAACATGTGTATCTGTGATGGCAAATGACTTGCTGCCAAACTAAATGGATATAAAAGGTCAGCCCACCTGGCTAATTATCTATACATTAATTCAAGTAATGGGTAACCAAAACAATTCATCAATGAATAAAAACATTTAGCATGAACCTGTCACATTCCCTTTGCTCAACTACCTGACAATAAACTACTTTGCTCAAACACAAATTTTCATATAAGCAATAAAAACACTTCTCACTAGTCACTACTACGAATATTGACTTTTGCGAATCTTTTATGATGCAAAGACATCGGCCATTAAAGCATGCATGTGTGACCTTGTGTATCATCCAGATTAATGTTGTGTCAACTATATGCTTCAAGAACTTAAGGTGATCCCCAGGACACCATTTGCACACCTTTTCATAGTCAATGCCATTTCAGATTCAATAGGTAGTTAGTGACAGATACTATTATAACAAACAGCATAACCTCAGTAGCTTGGTATAAAATATACTGGACTGGCCCGATAAAGAGAAAACATAAGATGGAGATCTACATGGAAGTATTAAATGAAGCAAAAAAAAAAATTACTATGTTCAACCATGGATATGTTATCTATCATTTTGAAAGATGAACTTGAGAGAGATAAGGTTTTTTGACTAGGCAAATTCTGAATTATGGACTGAAATAAGAGGCTTCCAGGAGGATGGTAAGCTACAATGTCCGATAGCAAAAAAAAAAAAGCACTCATATTATGCTAAAGCAATTACAGACGGCATGAAACCTAACAAACTCTGGTCGACATAATATGACAATAAACGCTCTTAATCTTAGCTCTGGCGAAATCCATAAACTTCTCCTCTTCTGCAGTAACCTTTTTTCTTGAGAAAATTCTCTTTTTCCCCAGCATCAAAAGAGTCTGCAAACCCGAAGCCAACATGTATTCAGAAACTAAAACAGAGCAGTAATGACAATTAAGTTCAATCCAAGCCATAAAAAAACCTTCGTCCGGAGATAAGCCAAATCAAACACACAATACAAGTGGAATAAGCATTATAACATAGAACTATATATGTCAAAACTCTTTCTCACCATTGGTAAATCATCTTCTAATTTCTACACCACAGTGGTTAGCTAGACTCAGGAGCAGGTGGAAAAAAATGATATTTATTAACTAAATACACAGTAAGTTTCCATAATTGATTGATAGCTTATTTTTTTTGTCAAATACCATACGACCTGGATCATACGTGTGAAGTTCATGAAGTAGTCACGGTTACACTAATAATTTGCTAAAGTAAGAGCATAAGAAAACAATAGGCCATACAATCAAAATTAAATCCAATTCACTGCCATAAACTTTACCGGCAGAGATTCAACTAGAGATTATTCTGGGTAAACACTCATCAGCCAAAAAAATATTTCACACAGAGCTCCGTAATCCCAGTATGCAGGTTCTATCTTATGACTTTTGGTAAAGAATTTTGGATTGTTGCTCATGTGTCTACTAGCACCAGTATTTAATATCCATGAACCTTCATATGATTGCTCGATACTAGTTAGAGAAAATGAATGTATACCTTGCAATGGAGTACCTGCATAATCCACAAAATGTGCCTGACTATCACCTCCTTCAGGGCCTTGTCTTCCTCCTCCTGATGAACGAAACTTTGCTATTTCTTGTTTGATTATATTTGAGATATCCTGAAGTGGCATTTCATTCCTTCCTTCTGTTATCCCAGTTCCCTTCATCACATTCTTTTTGTAAAATTAGCTGAATTAACTGAGACCTTTCCACTGAGTTTTGCCTTGTCTTCTTTCAGAGTTTTGAACCAATCAGGGTAGCCATGTAATTTGAAACATGACTGCGTAAGATGCCCATTTCCTTGACAATATTCACACTTCAATTTAGCCTTTTCCTCTTTTGTTAATCTGCCAGCTCCCTTTCCTCTTCCTCCTTGCCAAGTACTATTCAAACTGTTAACGTTCCCAACACCTCTTCCATTAAAACCAGCTCCTCTAGTGAACATAGCACTTTGCTCAAGATTTTCAGGAAACTGATGCACTTGTCTTTGTTTTTCTACCCTTTGAACCAATGAATAAGCCATGTTTGGTGAAGGCAGAGGATCCTGTAACAGGATTTGACTCATTGCACCTTCATAGCTCTCATTTAGCCCCATTAGAAACTGAAATAACTTCCTATCTTCTTCCATTTTCACCATTTGTTGCAGAGATCCACATTTACATGTAGGCAAAGGCATTAAACTGGCATACTCATCCCAAATGCGTTTAAGTCTAGTAAAATAACCTGCAATTGAGTCATTTTCCTGTCTGATATTGGAGATTTCCTTTTGCAGCCGATACAAACGTGGACCGTAGCTTTCTCCAAACCTCTGCTCGATCTCTTCCCATAAATCTTGCGCTGAATCTGCGTACAAAAACGCATCCACCAAATCCTTGCTTAGAGAGTTGAGAATCCAGCTGTAAATCGTGATATCGACCTTCCTCAATTGATCGAACTCAGGTGCATCTAGGACTGGTCTTTTTATGCGGCCATCAATGAATCCAAGCTTCGTCATCGCTCCCAAAGCAATCGTCATCGCTCGCCGCCACGATTGGTAATTCGAGCCGGTCAAAGGAGCTGAGACAAGTGCCATGCCAGGATGATGGGAACTGTGCAGCAAGTACGGATCGTCTGGCCTCATCATCATGTTCGTATTTCCTTCATTGTTCAATGGAAAATCAGATTGGCTAAACAAAGAGAAGCCATGGATGAACCAGATATTGCTATAATTCTATTATCTCAAACAGAAAATACAGAAAGGAATGATACAATCTGTTCCAACGGCTAGAAACTGAATATATATACAAACCAACCAAACTGAAGGTGAAAAGACTAAAATGTCCCTAGATGAAAAACATCCAACCTACAATAATAACCAATTCAATCCATTGCACAAACAGCTTTATTTTTGTTCGGTAATTGCCTAAGCTAGATCAAAGCTTTTAGTAACTAAACAGCATTCAAAGCAACACAGCCATGGCAGATGCAGAAATTAGGGAGATGAAAATGTTTGGAGCAAGTTAACATCCATACACAATATCCACTACATCACTATCAAGCTATGCATTAAACCATAGATCCATATTTACAACACAATATTAAGAAAATCCTGAAGTATTATACTGAATGAATCAATATATCAAACATAAAAACTACTAACAAACAACTTAAGCTGGATTGCCGATCAAATGTATTCCGCTTTTAATCCATCTAATGCCGCCAGAGCCTTCGTCCCCAGCTTAAGCTTCCTGAAAAGTTAATATCCATATACTATATCTACTATCTCACTAACCAGCAGTAAAAATAAACTATAAATCCATATTCGCAACACAATATGAAGCAAATCCAAAAAATACACTATACATGCATCAATTTGTCACTATCTAAGAGATAGAAAACACGAGAACTACTAACGAACAGTATAAACTAGATCGCCCTATCAAATATATACCTTGTTTAGCCCGTCTGATGCCGCTAGAGCCAGCGTCTCCTGTTTATTTGTTCGAAATCTTCACTCCTTACAGAAGATTAGGGGAAAAAATCCTCAAACACTGCTGAAAAATTCCATGGGCACCAAAAAAACAGATCGCTCAACATTCCGCAAAAAAAGGGCAATTTGCTTTAAGAACAAACGAATATCATCAATTAATTATGCAGTATCCAAAGTTCAAGCTCGCGATTTTTACTAACCTGTTGAGTTCGATCGATGAAACTCGCTGTTCTTTTGCCCGCCAAATGTTTTTGGGTTCACTCTTTCCGAATGTATTGTACACGACTGAAAGTATTATTTATGCAAGTCCGAAGACGCAATTGCGCGGGCTCTCGGTTCATTTTGACCTTTTTGGCCGAGATCGAATGACATGCCTGTGAGCTTATGAAGAGTTACCGACCAGTCAAAACTCAAAACAAAAAATCGATCACGACTTTTTCAGTCCTCTCTTCCAATCAAACCTCAAAATTTGGGATTAATACTAACTAGTACAATACCCGTGCACACTCTTCCAATCAAACCTCAAAATTTGGGATTAATACTAACTAGTACAATACCCGTGTAAATGCACTGGTGTTGAATTAGGAAACATATATAAAAAATATTATTTTTTTAAATTAAAATAATTTAATTTTATATAAAACATTACTTTGGATTTTAACTATATTGTCAAATTATATTTTTTTAATCATAATAATTAAACATCTGTATATTAAATAAAAACGTCAACTCATATTGATTTTTTTTAATTATATCATATAAAATTATCGATATTATTTATTATTAAATAAATAGAAATAGTATGATGATATTCATATGTATAAGTGCAGAATATGTTTGTCTAATATTAAGCAAAATAGATTAATTTTTTACTTAATTAGATATCTAATACATCAAGTGTCGTATCCGTCGTTCTTTATAGTTTTCTAATTTTTTTAATCATAATAATTTAACACCGTACATTAAATAAAAATATCAACTCATATTGAATTTTTTTACTTATGTCATATAAAATTAACGATATTATTTACTATTAAATAAATAGAAATAATATGGTGATATGCATATGCATAAGTGCATAATATAAAATCTTAAAATAAGAAGAAGAAACATTTATAATAACTAAGGAATAAATAAGAAAATGAAATGAAATGTATGAAAAAAAATTAATTTATATCAAGCCTAACTCCAAAACATGATTTTTTGCCAAATAGGATTACGAAGCTTAAGAGTTTGCCACGTAAATTCAACTCATTCTGAAATTATATATAGAGTTGATTTATTTTAATTAACAAATATTCTTTATTTTATAATTAATATTAATAAATGAAAAATGTTATAAGTACATAATATTATACATACGGATATACATAACACTCGCATTGTGTAGGACCTATCAAAAATAAAAAAAATCAAAAAGATATATCAGCCTTTATATCAAGGACTTCAGATGAGCTTGAGCTCAACCCAGCTAAGCTTAGTAGCTAAAGTATTAAGGCTGAAAAAATAGCAAAATTATCAATAAAAGAAAAAAAAAAAAGCGAAAAAGAAATACTACAATCCAGCAACAAACAATGTCAACATCTTTAACACGATCCATCTTTACCAGTCACGTATGAGCTACGACTAGATTACACTTTATTCTATCTGGAAAAACAAAAAGGAAAAACAGAGAGACAGATACAAACTCAAAATGTGTGGCTAACAAAAATTTCAAATGCAGAAAGTACCGTAAAAACCAAACCAAACCTATAACTATCACTGTCATGCACACTGGATCAATCAAACACCATATCTACAGAACTTCAGCAGGGTAAGGTCAGTAAATGTAAATCCAACAAGATTTTCAAAGGGCTCAAGACATCATTTTTGTTTTTCTCTTCCTTCTTGTATCGCCCGAAAAATCCTAGCAGCAGATTCACTTGCAGACCTGGCATTATGAGGCATGACCTTAATCACCCGATTCGGACCCTTGGGCTCGGGAGGCCGTGGGCCGGGTTTCGGGCCCGTGGACATGGGGAAAAGTGGAAGCTCGTTCCTCTCCTCCAAAGGATTTTTTCCTTCATTATTCTCAACAGGACTACTCGCAATGCTAGCTTGTGTTTCGAAATCTTCAGTTGCCGCATTCAAATTGCCCGTAACATTGCTGACATCATCTTGTTTCTGGCCCGAGAATTCAGGCCCATATGAAAACGGCATCCCATATGGTGGGAAATAGCCATGTGGGCCCGGCGGAGGAAAACAAGAAAATTGTGGGCCCATCAACCCGGGCGGCCCAAACACTCCGTAGGCTGAGCCCATGAATCCGGACCCAGGGTATGGCTTGTAAACCAGCCCTTCTGAAGGGGACATCACAGGAATTAACCACTGGTTACCGAGCAACTGAGGACTGAAACTCCAAGGCCCGGAATTGCTTGGAGGCTGTAACCCATTGTGAAAGGAAGCAGAAGAAATCGCTTTCTTCTCAGTGGTAGCATTTTCGAAGCCGGTTTTTGTCTCGTGAACGGGCTTTTTCTCGGGTCCGCCTTTTGGCTTGCCTACGTGCGGGTTTTCTTTCAAGGGATTATTTAGCAGTTTTCGTTTACCAGGAGAAGCTAATTTGATTGGTTTGGGGAAATAAGCTGAGTCATCGAGCAAAATCTGTGGTGATGCGGATATCAGTCTCTGGACCTGATGAAAGGAAGAAATTTAATAACCTGCAGAGCTCAGGTTCTTGAAATTGAAAAAGAAAAATGAACAAGTAGCAAAACGGGATATCGATGACTATAAGATATAGAGTGTATAAGTAAAAAGAGAGATCACCGTTATCAGTCGATGTAATTCAAACACTTGAACGGCAAAAATTCTTTGTTGGCTGTAAACAAGAATGTAAAAAGTGTAAGGCAGATAACATAGTTTCTCAAATTTGATCTGAAGAGTTCCAACAAAAGACAATTTCATAAATTATCTATTACCACATTTTCGAACAGTAACATAAATACAACAAATATTAAGTTATACTTAAGAAAAAAAACGTGGAATCTCTTCCGAATGCTCTAAACAGCAAAATAGAAAATACGGTAGAACAAATAGAACGCAATTACTTACTTGGCTATTTCTCTTCTTGCTTTCCAGAATTGTTTTTGACCTATTACTCCTACCACATCATCGGGCGTTACATCGAGTGGGGAAACTGAATCCACCACAGAATTTTCAGACAAACTGTCAAATCTGTCTAAATCTGTCATCATCTGCTGTGATCTACACCTGTCTTGAAATTCTGTTTTATTACTGATATCGTGCAAAATATTCTGATCCTCAGATGGAAAATCCATGACAGAGGTAGAATCACGTCTTCTATCCAGTGTCATGATATTCCTATCCAATACAGAGGGATTGCACCTTTCGCTGTCGGGCTTGTACTCCACACCGTTATTAGTATTCAATTTGCCAGAACTATCAGTTTTTTTCTTCAAAGATTCAGCCTTTTCGACTGCTGATGGAGTCAACAACTCTTCTGAATTCAATTGCCTTTCAGATTTTTGACATTTTCTTAATTGGTTCGTATATTCACGATGTTCTTGATTCGGGACAGAACGGACGAAGGCCGGAACTGCAAATTCATCATTTTCCAATTTCTTTCTTTGTTCGATTTGATTCGATTGAGCGCCCGAATCGGGATAATGGTTGTTTTGCTTCTCAGATTGAATTTGTGTATGCATATGATAAAAGGGAAAGATGCCCCTTTCATTTGCATTGCCCTGAAAGTGCACAGAGTGTAGACTTATTATTAAAAAAAAAAGAATGTCAAGTCGGACCTCTCATGTAATAAATCACTTAAGGAAAAGGTCATACACATTACTCTCTTATGGAGTATTTGGAAGAACTTTTTGCTTATGAAGAAAGTGATGTATTGCAGACGATGCCAAACATAATTGAGTAGTCATTTAGAAAATAGATGATGAAACTAAAAAGAGCCGTTTAATGCACATAGAACATATTCTCTTGGGATTTTGCATGTTAGCTGGCATTCAAAAACACTAAAAGAACAGTTTCTACAAATCTAACTAGTGTGAATATTCTTTATGCCTTTTTTAGCAAAAGTTTGAAACTAATCAATGTGTAGTAATCCAACCAGCTGAGAGAACAAAGACTACACACCGAACAACATTTTTATTCTTTCTTCTTCAACGAGCTCATAACAAACAACAATAACAGGTGAGGTGATGCAGCCCCCAGAATATTCAAACGTGACCAAAATGAAACGAGCTTGAGATGCAAAATTTGGTCAAAATTCGAACAAACAAAAAAAGGAGCATGAAAAACAGAAAATCACCTGGCTATTATTAGAAGGGACACTAAGCTGTTCATAAAGCGCCATCTTGTTCCTCGGAGGTGCTCTTGGCCCTCCTTTATCCGTGTCCTTCACATGAAGCCTTGGAAACATGGGTCCCATTACCTTCTCCTCTTTCCCTCTCTTCATTTTTTCTCTCCCGATACCCTCTCTCTCTCTCTCTCTCTCTCTCTCTCTCTCTCTCTCCCTCTCTAATTAAGCTCCCATGTGTCGACAGCTTCCGATGATTTTGAGAAGATCACTGGAATATGCCATGTCCCAAATGTCAAAATCAGATCTTTACTAACTTGGATTACGTTTTTTCTCCAATAAGTTTTATTTGACTTCAACAACTACAGTTTATGATGAAAGCCCACTTGTGAAAATGGTAAAATCAGACCAACCTGATGCACATATATTAAATCTATCAATCACACTCACTCACAAACAAACAATAAAAACTACATCAAAAGCCCAATCAGTTAAAGAAACTATATTCAACACAAGCTCACAGGACGAAAATTCAAATACCCAACAACAAAATTCATTCTTTCCCCTTCATCCCAAGAGATAAAAAAGGAAGCCCAACAATAAAGAAAGAACCTTTATTTAAGACACCGCATGAGGAAGCACAAGGAAGCAAATATTACCTCGTTCAGCAGCGAGATCAACGCAGTGAAGCAATGGAAATGAATCAAACAACCTTATGGACAAAAATCAAATCTATCTCACACACAAACACACAATTAAAACTACTTCAAAAGCTCAATCACTTGAGAAACCCATATTTAACACAAGCTCACCGAACAAAATTCAAATACCCAACAACAAAATTGACTCTTTCCCCATTCATACCACAGAGAAAAAAAAAGAAACAAAAAAAAAAAAAAAAACCAATAATAAAGAACGAACCTTTTTTTAAGACACCGAGAAAGCACAAGGAAGCAAATATTACCTCGTTCAGCAGCGAGATCAACGCAGTCAAGCAATGGAAAATGAAAACAGCGAAACGAAATCAAAATAGATTCGGAGAATAGGCGAAAAACGAGGGTGTGTCCAAATATAGGGAGGAGCATTTTGTGGACCCAATGCTTGGATAGCAATTAGCACAGAACCTAGAACCTGCTAAAGAGGTGGGTTATATTCATATTTGATATTCTCAGATAAATTGAATTTTTGGGTAGATTTTTCCATTATGCGGCCTTTTCTGCTTTTAATCGCCGATCTGGGACCCGTAAGCAGCTTTTGTTTTTTGGTCGTCCGATATGTCACAAATATCCTAGAGTGGATGGTAAAGCTGTCAAAAGCAGAGAGGTTCGGTGGCCCAATAAAGGCCCATCTAGCCGAAGAAAATAATAGGCCGGGCATTGCGTTTTTCTTGATCCAACAAGCCCAAGTCCGACAGAAAACCTGAAGTAGGTGGGCCGAAAATGGGGACTTTGTGTTCGAGGCCTAATCATGTTACAACACTCAGTGAGTCGGTTGATTTGTTATTCATGTGAGGGTTTGAAGAAATTACATCTTCCACTTAAACAATCTAAAAATATTACATAATTACATTCTCTATATAATTATTTATAAATTAACAATCTTCGGCAACGAAAACCAAAATCAGACATTGCCATTTTTCAGTTTTTTTGTCAATAAAATATTATACAAAATTAAGAAAAGAGCAAATATATATTGATTGAATTATTAACGTGTCATGCTTTATTAGAACTCAAATGAATTTTCATCCATCCCACCACTACTCTCATATTTTGTTACATCAATTTTTATGTAATATTAACGCTTTTGAGCTCACTTCTTCACTAAACCACACAACTTCATTTCACAACAAAGTTACTTAAACCCATTACCCATATCTTATCAACTTTCCCAAATTTTTCCTTAGAATTTTCTCAAGGGCACTTAGGGGTCCTACCCGGCCCTCCATAGTAGAACTCGGGATCATCTACATAATCCGAAAGGAAATAATAATCGTAACAATTGTACTCGTCCGCGTACATAAACACCCACTGTGGAAACTTCAAAACGAGGTCGTATTGAAGTATCCTTATCCGCTTTATGTAGCCCGAGCTTTGCATTACGAAGTCCGAAAATTCGCCGCTACCCATCTCGGTTTTCGTGTGGGGCTGTGTCCCGACTCTCGTGCTGTAAACCTCTCCACCCCATTGCACGGTTTCCGCATGGCGGCTAAGTGCCGTAAAAAGGTCGCCCGGCCAATAACCGACGTTGATCCTTTCGCCGTATTGAAGCCACCAATTGGTTGTATTGGGATCCTTAATTAATACCATGGCAAAAAAATTAGTGAAATAAAAGAAAAAAAAAACAATCAGAATATGAAACTTGTCCACTATTTTGGAGAAGATAATAAATAAATTTGCCCAATAGTTTTTTAAATTGTTAAAATATCCACTAGATAATAAAATTCGAGATGGCATATACCAAAAATGCACCAATCAAGACCCACTAATCGCAAAAATATGTCCATTAACTCGCGTATTTGGTTAAAAAAATTGCGATTTTGATTAGTTATTGGACATTTTTTATAATTACAAATGTTACTAATTTACTAAGCATAATTGTCATTTTCACAAGCTATAGTTAGCATATTTTATATATCTTTGCATATTGCATGTATATAAAATTAAATGTGAGATATATAATATAAGAAGATGTAGGTAGATAGAATGGTAACTCTGTAGAGGTAAATTGTGATTTGGTATGGAAGTCCAGTGGGGTTTGAGATTGGGTAAATGGCAGCACCAAGAGCTATTTCATTGCTGGTTTGGACAAAACCTGGGCAGGTCAAGTCAAAGCACCCTGTTTTCACTGACCCATCAGCCTGAAATTAAATTTATATATTACAAAAATTACAATATAAAATAAATTAATTGCCAATATTTTAGTAATTAATTATATTGCAGTAAATTAGAGTCACTAAACATAACGAGCCATTCATGAACTCGACTCGGCTTGTTAAAGCTCGGGCTATGAATGAAGCATATTTTGAGTTTGTTTAAAGCTTGTTTGTTCAAACGAGCCGAGCTAAGCTCGTTAATGCATAAAAATATGATTTTTTCGGTAAATTTTTATTGTTCAATTTGTTAAGTCTCGAGTTTAGCTCGTTAATATTAATAAAAGAGCCAAAGGATATAAATAAACGTACCGTCCAATAAACGTACAATCGAGTCTGCCTGTCTCCGTAGACTCTGGGATTGACCTAGTCAAAATTGCCACCTTGTAAGCAATTGCTGAGCTTACTATTGCAAGCATTAAATAAATTCAAAATTAACACAAACAATACATGAGAATATAATTGTTTTTCTTTTCATTTGGTTTGACATACTTAATTTGAGTACTTATTTTTAGCACTAAACTGGTCCAACCGGTCTGTTTTCTTAACTGATTCCAACCAATTTTCGCCGGTTAATTCGACTGGTCACTAAGTGATCAGTGGTTCGATCAGTTGGAGTTAAGAACTATGATCGATTTTAACGACAACATAAATTTGAATACTAATGTGCAATATGACACTTACATATATAGACACCAAATTTTATCTTTTTTCTTGTACTTGAATTTGGCTATTTTGTTGTTTATAGTAAATTAACTTACAGCCCATCCACTTTCAACAGCTTCAAAGTCATTGGCAGGTCCGGTTTTTAAAGCCACTCGGGAGGTCGAATATTCGTCATCTAATTCAACGTACGGATTCCAAACTTTTATATCTCCTTTGGCTCCGATATATGCAAAGCCTTCGGTGTGCAAAATCGAGACCTGCATTTTTTTAATTAATTCAAAAAAATTATCAGTAAAAATGCCAATGTTCATGAAAATTTAAATAACCCCTGAAGTGTAGCCTAATAACTTCTATACTTGCGCGCAATATTTACATGCTATTGGGGGTGTTATGTAATTAGGATGAAACAAAAGGAGCCTTTTGTAACTAATTTGAAATTGAAAACCATGATCATGCGTGGACATACCGAATGATTCTTGTACAAGAACGTAAGGCTTTCGTTAGCTTGCTTGAAACGATTCAAATCCATTGCCATCGGCCTCTTTTTCGCGTAATAATATTGCCCTTTCGCGGAAGCATAATCTTTTCGTATTCTTCGGATAGGAATTGTTCCCTTCGGACAAGTTCCACTCTTATGCCACGTTTGTTTGGTCACGGTCACATAAGATCGTTTGTTTTTCCCGGCATATGTTTTCTTGTCCGCTTCCGCTTCCACTTTTAAGTCATAGCTCGGTTTCAACTGCGTAATAAGTAATAAGAGGGTTTGTGAGAATGAGATTGACAAATGATTTTTTAGAACTATAATTGTGAGTGATAATATTTTTGTTTGGACGAGTTGTTAGACTTGAGAAAGTTAAGGTTTTATGTACTTAATTAGCATAATTCAGCTTGTTAAGACTCATTAACAAGCCCTGTGACTGATTATCATAAGCTTGAATTCGAGTCATTTACATGATATATGTAATACTATGCATGATAGCATTATTATTTCAGTACTCTTATTCTTGAAGATCTGAAAATCAAAAAACAAAAACAAAAAAGAAAGAAAATTATTTAATTAATACCTGGATTTTGTGATCCTTGAGAGATGGATGATCAAACGCTGGCTGCTTGTAGATATCTATGCAATCAATTATATCCCCATCTTCACTCTTAACAAGTTCAACATTTGAGTTCATATGGCAATTAATTGTTTAGAGAGAAAAATAAAATGTCGAAAAAAGGCATTCAATAACAATTAAATGTAACAATATTAGCATGTGTGTAACTGAATATGAATACCTGGATGCTCCTAACTGCTGCATGATCGTCACCCTTCACATTTATGAAGGTAGTTTGCAATAACATGAGTACAATTACAGGTAATTTAAAGTCCATTCAAAGAGCTAATAATAACTACTTTCTTTGATTTCAAAAGGAGATTGAGATGTTTGATCTTGTGAAAGAAGAGTGAATTATAAGTAAATTTCAGTGGTGAAGACAAAGAATTGCACTAAATTGTGCTTGAAAACTGTGAGCTCTATTTAAGTTAGGTATAATATTGATGTGAACTAACATTTCTTATGACTTACTTTCCATATCATATGAATGTCACTTGGACATGCATATGTTTTGAATTTTGTGAAACATGTAAATTGGAAGCAATTGTTATTGAGAATATTCTTTGTGATGTGGAATTTTTGCTAAGGCATTCAATTTTCTTTAAGAAATAATATTTTTTTTTCTCATAAATGGACTCCAACATGAAGCATAAATTTGAAGGGCTTAATTATATAAAGCCCAATCCACAAACTGTGACGGTGAGTGCAAATTCATGGTTCATAAACAATGGGCTTGCCGTGATTCGACCCAACAATAAATATTAAACTTCAATTCCCTGTAGAAAAAGTGAAATTAAGGAGTCTTTTTGTCTGTATACTTTAATTAAGAAAGTTACATTCACATACTCCATTTCGCCGGCCGNCAAATTATAATAAAAAATAAATATATATTATATATTATAAATCATGACTAATATATTAAATAAATTATTTTAAAAAAAATTAAAATAAAGAAATTGAAAACTTACTTTTATTTATTTTTTAATTAGTATATTAAATACTTATATAAAAATAAAACTACAAAAATCATTTATATATAATTTAAAAATATATTATTTTATTTTTATATATTATTAAAAATATATTATTTTTTATATATTAAAAATATAATACTTTTAAAAATATATTATTGAAAAGTATTAAAAATATATTATTAAATTATATTACTTTTTAGTTTTAAATATTATTTAAAGTATTTTATTTTAAAAAATAAAATTCAAATAAAAAATTGAAACTTAACTCTTATTTACTGTTTAATTAAAAAATAAAACATATATTATTAAAAATATATTACTTTTTATTTTTAAATATTATTAAAAATATATTATTTTTTTATATATCAAAAATATATTACTTTTAAGAATATATTATTTTTTATATATAATTTGAAAATATATTATTTAATTTTTATATATTATTAAAAAAATATATTATTTTTTCTATATAATTTAAAAATATATTATTTTACTTTTATATATTATTAAAAATATATAATTTTATTTTAATATATTATTAAAAAATATTTTTTAAAAAAATATTTTTATATATAATTTATTAAAAGTATATTATTTTTTAAAAAAAATCTTTTATTTATTTTTATAATAAAAAATGATAATATATCAATGACAAAACATGTTTCATTCCATTCCCATAATCATTCCATTCTTTAATTCATTCCATTCCTACGAAATTCCATTCCATCATACCAAGCATGCTATAATAGTATTAGTAGTCTCTAGAAATTTGAGAGTGAATCTGACACATATGACTGATTTTCTTTTGTAGAGATGTTAAACGAAAATAATTGTTTGTGAACTCAGCTTTGGTCGTTTAAGTTCGAGTTTTTTCATTTAGCTAATGATCAGTTAAGTTTACATTACACTTGATAATTAATAATTTATTTTTATATAATTTCATGGATTTTTAACATATTCAGCTTACGAGTATAGTTTAAGCTCACTTATTGTGTTCGATTGTTCATTAATCCAACAAGCCGGACTTGAGTCGAATGACTCGAGACCGAGCTCGCGTATCAAGAGTACAAGCTCAGTTCAAAGTACTACTAGTATATTGATGAGAAATTATATTATAGAACGTATAATTTGATCATAAAATGGTCCGTCTAAAGTCGTCTCTTACACAATTTCTATTGTTGGAAAACTATTCGAATAGAATAAATTCATGAACGTTGGAATAATTACGTGTCGCTCTCTCAAAACTTAATAACACTGTAGAAGGTTCTGGAGTGTAGCAATTTTTTTACCAGTCAACCAAAAATTCAGTAGCCAAAGACTTGTGGTCCTTAACCTATCTTTTAGAGGTAGACACGTGTTTCGCGTGTCTTTTACGCGTCAAGTTCTTATTTGAGTAACTGTAAAAACCGCAGAGTCCAACAACTACTGCACTTAAAAGGACTTGACAGCTGGATTGATGCCTTCGCCCTTGATTTTAGCTAATTAATTACTCGCTCAAATCATAATAAACACACTCTAATTATTGTAGTTTTACACATACTTGAAGCTATGATAACCCAAAAAGATAGTCTTGTCTACCTATACTCGATGCGCTGTCGTATCATCCAGCTGTTTTTCCGCCACCCGCCAGTCTGTAAAATTCGGGCAGCTGCCCGCACATCCTCTCGGGCTATAAAGCGCCATTTTCCCCCACAACACACTCACTCTCTCTCACACACTCATACTTCTCTAGCTTTCAGCTCACACACAGCCGGAGAAGAAATTGCAATGGCGATGTCTAAGGCCAGAGCCCTGGCGGCGATAGCCACGATCGTCGCTCTCTTCGGAAGCTCGTTCGCGCAGGAGGCGCCCGCTCCTGCTCCGGCGTCTCCAGCCGGAATCGCGTCGCCTTCACTCGCCGTTGCCTGCGCCGCCGCCGCTGTGGCGTTCGTCTTCGGATCTGCCGTCAAGATCTGAAGGTTTTAAGCGTGTGTGTGTGTGTATAGGACGATGGTGTTTTAGGGGTTTTTTCCACTTGATTTGTTTGTTTGTGTGGCTATGCAGATCTGTGTTGATCTGGTGTTTGTTTGCTGGTGGAGTTTGATTTTTAGGAGACTTTTTATTTGATTTTGGTGATACGCTTTTTTATTTCGTTTATGTACCTATTAATTTGATATATTTGAGTCCCATTTTAGCGTTTTTATTAATTGTCGCTGTGTTTTATTCTTTCTGGTTGCTTTTTTTACTTAATCCTGTTCTTTATTGGCAAATTTGGTACATAAGTTAATCTTTAAACATGCAAAATGTGTGAGCGCTTTGATTACTTAGATCTATTAGTTGTTATGTATAATTTTATCACTATGTTGCAGCTGCATAATATTACTTTTTCAAAAATTGGCATATTCTCAAACACACAGTTAACAATAAAAATTAAAAAAATAGTGACAATCCTTAGTATTAATATGTGTTGTTGTTAATTACTAAATTGAGAATCATGTTTCATATAATATATTATTAAAGCTTTGCTTACTCTCAAATCTCAATATAATGTTCATTTCCCCTGCTTTCCTTGAAAGGAAGATTCAACACAGTGTATATCAATTCTTGCTGCTATAAGTTAATAGGATTTTTGCAGCAACTTTTATTTATATATATTTTAACTTAATGATTTGAGGTGGCCTTGGTCTGGGTTACGTTTGTTTTGTATAGAAAAAAAATATCAATGTTTTTAACAGTAGTCACAAACTGTAATTTTGTTGTAAAGATTGGAATTTGAATTTTAGTGGACTCAATGTTTTTGTTCTTGTGAAAATGGACTTTAGGAAAAAGTTACAATAATAGCTTAACTACTTTTGGAGTAGGTCAAAAGCGTGGCACACAATGCCATCAATAAATTGTGCAATGTGGAAAAAGAAATAGAAAGAAAACAGTATTAATTCATTGCTTGTGCAATGTGAAAAAAGAAATAGAAAGAAAACAGTATTAATTCATTGTGGGACTCAAATTGAGGGTGAAATTCGCCTTACTTCTATACGACCGACACGTTCATATGACCACCTATATAAAATTTTAAATCGAGCCACCTTTCAGTGTTGAGCAAGTGAATATTTTTTGCTTTTCTTATGGCGCAGTAAAATACATTTGTTTCTCTTCAATTTTCCACTCCGCGGATATGATATGGCACAAGTTATTTTATTAGTCATATTATTTTATATTTTCACCATCATAATAATTGTAATTTCATGCTCAATTAGCATTTTTAATCAAATTTTTTGTACTTTCATGCTTTGAACGAAGTATACCAATGATTATAACGTGCTCGAGTTGTTTTATATAATGAATAAAATTCAAATAGGTCGTTCTACAAGTGTAATTTGAAATTCAAAAGATTTTACTATTCAGATTTTAGAACATATATCTTAATTTGGAGTAACAAATAGTACACGACAAATCTCGAACGCAAGTATTCAAAATAAACAAACTAAAATACCAAATTTGTAAATTGAAGGATATCAATTTAAACAGTTTTACCGAGATGTCCTAGAAATTAACAAGTATCTACCAGTATACACCTCCGAAAATTTTCATGTAATAATTTATAAAAACAATTCTAAATAAATTATGCAAATTGAAAAAAAAAACGCCTCGTGTCGGGATATGTCCAGATTTTCAACCACAATTCTCCCTTCAATTGACATTATTTTGCCAACATAAGACTGCAAGAGAGGAGCCAAAACCAAAACCGATTTGAACTCGAAATTTCCAGCCAAATTGTCCCTAAGGTTCAGAAAAGAAGATTTTTCTTGTGATATATCATCACATTGTAAATCCTCTCTAACTTGCATCAATTTCTTCACAAACTTACTCTTCAATTACACATTTTTCCGGTGTCTTAATATTCCTCCTACTCCGAATCTGAGTCCATGTTTCCCATAGCCTTAAGCCCTCTTGGTCTCTGAAAATCAAGATACAATAATTAGAGTTCATTTTTTTTCCATTAAGAAAAACAATATCATTGCCTAAATAAAAAGTACTATAAAATCGAGTACCTTCTTGGAAACTTTCTTCTCTCGGACCTCATAGCGTTCAAGTGTTAGGTCACATAGCCACGCACCTGGACTCACCAGCTGCAAATCCGAAATAATTGATTAGGCCTTTTGATATTTTTTATTCGACTAGAATGGCAATGTATATTTTCATGTACCGCGGAATCTTATGTCTTCATATTGTCGTAACATATGAATGTTAAGGATTCAGAAGATAATGATCAATCAAGAACTAGCTGTTTGGCTAGAACATACCTAACCACTAAATAAATTGCATAATCCCTTGAAATCCTACCTTTGACAAGTTTTAAAGTTTCTCTTTTACAAATTTAACACTTCACAGAAACAAACACAAATCTCAAGGTGCATTCATAATACATGATCAGTGGTATTTAAAATAACTTGAATCTTTTTCTTTAGAGTTAGTCTAACCCTCTCAGTTTGCAACTATCATACATGCAATTTGATGCAGCTATGTTTCACCTAATCACCATATAACCAACCCCATTAATGTGCCTCATTAGTCATTACTAAAATACAGATTTCAGATACTTAATTAGCCAAAAAATTCAACAAACGGGATCACCCTACATATTTCTCCTAAATGCAATCATGGAACAAAAAAAAAAATGAAAAAATTGATACACACATTTAGATAAGTTTATCCGTGAAAACATTTTTTTTCCCCTATAAAAAAGAAAAACAAAGAAATGAAAAACTTACATTGAGGGTACGCTGAATGAATTTGGCCCTCTTCTTAGGTCTTTGAGGCAGCTTGGATCCTTTAATCGCCATAAAATCCTCTTCCTTCTCCTTATTTGTCAGTGCAATCACAAACTTCGGCGGCCAGATGGCGGAGACCGCCTCCGGCGACCCGGAACCACCGCCTCCGGCAACACGGTGGTTGTGGTTATTGTGGTGATTATTATTAACATTATTATTCGTGCTGTAATTAGTAATTTTATTACTATTATTCTTGTTATGACTATTGGTATTAATGGGTGGGACTTTTCTATCCATCACTCCATTGCTAAGTCCCTTCATACCGATTGAACCCTCTGAACTCCTACACAAAATTATTAAATGTGAAAGAGATGAGAAATAAAAAAGATGAAGAACAAACGATTCAAAAAATCGATCTTGAAATTGACAACATTAAAAAGAAAAAGGAAAAAAGTTACCGGGAAAAGTAAGAGATTTTCGTGGGTAGTGGCGGAAATTACGGAAAAGCCCTTTTGGGGGTAGAAATTTCGGATCATGGGATGATGGAGTTTAGTGGTGTTGCGTAGAAAAGGGGATCTGTTTAAAGAGGACTTTGTCTTGTGGTTCTAATTTTCTTTTGGGTTAAGCTTTAATAATTTTAAAAGGGGTCGAGGATCAAGATATTGCGTGTTCGCGCGTGATTTGTAGCCTAAAGTTAAAAAGAGGGTGATAGAGCTGTCGGATTGGGAATTCATCACTACACCTATTTGCATATAGTTTTTTCAAGTCCTAATCCTAAGTGTAACATTATTGGGAGATAAATCAACCCTATTGTATGCATAGTCGGTTCCAACTGTTAGATCTCACACACATGCATTGTTCAAATGTATATTGATCCAATGACTTAAACCACGTATTAGCATAATTAAATTAACTATTGTGATATAGAAGTAAATTACTTTCGCCCATTCCTTACCCAAAAAAAAATTAAAGTATGAGGAACTATTCAAAAAAGTAGTTGTGAATAGTTCCTCACACAAGGTTTAACCTCATAGTTCCTTACGGCTAAAATCATTTGGGGCACGATCCACGAATAGGGTGAAATCATCGTAAAAAACCAAAACGACACCCTCTTAAAAAATTGGAAAATATATCATTCTACACAATTTTCCAATAAGTGAACAAAACTATACATATTTAAATTTATAATCCAAAAAAAAAAAAAAACACAATTTTAACGAAAAAAAGGAATATAGATTACCTTAAAATTCGAGAAGACGGAGAAGCCGGGCGTTGACGGAGGTTCAGGCCGCCGGCGCTCCTAACAAAATTACCAATGTTCTGCCGATTCATTATCGGATAGTCATCATTTGTATCCGATCTCACTAACCGCTGGTCTATCCGGGCCGTCGCACGCCGAACCGTTCTTGAACCGGTCGGGTCGTTGCTAGTACCGTGGCGTAGCCTTTTCCGGCCGCCCCACTGCAAGACGAAGTGGGAAGCTGACGACGTCGTTGCGGAGGCTAACCTGGATTCGGATCTCAACAGCAACATCTCGTCTCTATTGGTGGAATGGGTATTTATTCGGTCCATCTCCCCTTCGTGCACCTGTAGTCACCGTCAACAAAGAAAACGATCGTCGTTTCAGTTAACGGAGGTTTTTGTGTTGTGCTATCTGGATATCAGATAATATTTTCAAAAGGATCAAAAAACACATTTTTCAGCTAATGGCAGGTGAACAAGGAAAAAAAAAAAAAAAAGAGTAAATGAAACTGAATTTTGGGGCAAATGAACAATCACGCTTTTGTTGTTATTCAGTGATAATAAGAACATGTGTTTTTCTTCTAGACCAAAGAAATTATATATTTGTAGAATTCAGTTCTTCACAAAGGTTTTCTCAAACGAGCTGAGCTGTATCTTTCTTCAAACAACTTTGGAGTAAACAACATCTCGAAGATCGACGAACAAAATGCAAACAACAACGGTGCTAAATTAATTTATTCAAGAAAAATGAAATGAGGAGGCAAAGATGCAAGAGCACCATGTGATCAGATAGATTTGCATTTTCTTTTGTTCACTTCAACCAAAACCTTTAGGTGAGCTTTGATGAGAGATGAAGCTGAAAAGTACATTGAATATTTTTACCGGTGAGAGAGAAAAATCAGTATCCTTTTTACCGGCGACCTTCTGTTCAGAATCTGCAGTTACAGAAGCCGGAAATTTCTATCAGTCACGATGCGCATATTCATTTCTAAGCTCCTAATCTTTTTATCTCTTTTGCTCAGGCGGTGAATCAAATAACCTCAAAATATTGTGAGATTTTTTAGGCGAAACATTCAGATTGGCATCTCGAAAAGAACAACACCCATCGTCGCTTTAGATGGCAGCGTTTAGAAATTCACGGGCGAGAAATTACAGCAAATCAGAGCCCCAACCAAGGTTTCGATCTTCCTTAACAGGTAACTGGTCTCAAAATCTCCTATGAACACACCTGCAAATCCAGAGATTGCCACATTAATGTCCACAAATATTTGCTTCAACAAGAGAAAATACACAGACACGAACCTCTAATAATTCAATCAAAAAAATTGCATCAACCTTTCAGAAATTCGTAGAAGTCACAAACCAAGGTTGAAAATCCAAAATTTGTTATTCAAACTCGTGAAAAAATCAATAATGGATTTTAGATCGTTGATTTGATCATATTCACCTCATTTCCACTCACCAGAATGAGAGAGAGATTATGAGAGGAGGAAAGCTCTTTCTTCTTCTTCGAGTTGTGAAATGATGGATAGAAAAAAAAAATCATGTTCTTCTTCAAACCTCCACTTTATCACGACTATATATATTAATATACCCTCCATTTTTCATTTTTCATTTTCCATTTTCTAATGGGAAAAGTCTAAAAGTGGTCCATGGTATCCAGACTGAGTCCCTATTATGTTTTAGTGTTCAATTTTGGTCCTTAAAACAAACAAATGTTGTCCCTATAATAAGGAAAGTCCACTTTTGGTCCTCCATGTTTAGGGGGTATCCAGACTGAGTCCCTATTATGTTTTGGTGCCCAATTTTAGTCCTTAAAACAAAAAGATGTAGTCCCTATAATGGGGAAAAGTTCACTTTTGGTCCTCCATGTTTAGGGGTATCCAGACTGAGTCCCTATTATGTTTTGGTGCCTAATTTTAGTCCTTAAAACAAAAAAATATAGTCTCTTTACATCAATTTCTGTGAATTAACGGTCCATTTTTGCTCGACCGTTATGTTCTTTATTTTTTCAAAATTTGTTGACTAATGTCAACTTTGACCAAAGAAAAATAAAAGAAAATTTAAATGCTGAAAAGTAAAAGAAAAAGCAGAAATGGTGAACTACAGTGAAAGGTAGAAAAAAAATCTAACCGCCTAGGGACTAAATCCGATCAAGTAGATGGAAATGGTATGGTATTTTGTAGATGTGGGCTGGTTGCAAAGTTGACTACATGCTGGAAGGATGATAATACCAGTCATGTAAGTACTTTCCGTGAACTTCAATCGGAATACCCCTTTCTTCTTATTTATTGGACTGATGAAAAGGAATGGTTAAAAAAACAGAGGGTTGATAGGTGCAATTTTTTTCGATGGCATGACCCGGAAATGGGTGCAAGAGCAGTAGCTGTGATTCCAGGCTTGCTCCGTAGCGCGAATGCTAGGGAAATAGAAATCAGACGAGCAAAAATTTTAATCTAATTTAGTGCGATTTCTTGTTTTAGTTTAATTTTTTATTAATATATTTTTCAGCATTTAAATTTTCTTTTATTTTTCTTTGGTCAAAGTTGACATTAGTCAACAAATTGTAAAAAAATAAAGAACATCACAGTCGAGTAAAAATGGACCGTTAATTCACAGAAATTAAGGTAAAGAGACTACATTTTTTTTTGTTTTAAGGACTAAAATTGGGCACCAAAACATAATAGGGACTCAGTCTGGATACCCCTAAATATGGAGAACCAAAAGTGGACTTTTTCCTATTATAGGGACTACATTTTTTTGTTTTAAGGGCTAAAATTGGGCACCAAAACATAATAGGGACTCAGTCTGGATACCCCCTAAACATGGAGGACCAAAAGTGGACTTTCTTTATTATAAGGACTACATTTGTTTGTTTTAAGGACTAAAATTGGGCACTAAAACATAATAGGGACTCAGTCTGGATACCCCCTAAACATGGAGGACCACTTTTGGACTTTTCCCTTTTCTAATCTACAGCCGTTCAAAAGGAACGGACGGTGCAGATACTATTGCTCTAGCTGTTTGAAACGGCGTTTCCGCTGTCCCCACCCCAAAATGACCAAGCTCCGGTTCACGGCGTCAGGTTACTTGACGGTATCTTTTTGTCGTTAATTTCGCCGTTTGTATATTTTCTAAAGACATGGTCATGGGATGGGAGGTTTGGTAACTACCCTCCCTCCCCTCGCCTTTTCTACTAGACTCTAATCCTATCTGGGCACACTCTTTTCCTTCACCTATTCTTATGTCTCCACTCCCTTCTTTCTCTCGGCTTCCTAAATATCCCCCTGATTGAGCTCTAAGCCAATCTCCGTATTGTCCAGTTACCAGAGTACCATTGCTGACATATTCCTTTTTCTTTGCACAACTCTTGTCTCCATGGCCCACCCTTCCACAATAGAAACAAAAGTGCTGTAAATTTTCATATTTGAAATTCACCCACCTAGACTCCTCACCAAGCTTAATCTTAGTCCCTTTGAGGATTTGGCTATTAAGATCCATTTGCCAGAATTTTCAATATCCTCCCTCTGTGACTTTCAACTTCCGGCACTTGTACATCCACCACTCTGCTGAAAACTCGTCCAATTTTTAGCCCCAGCTATCCAGTGCAGAGGAAGATCATGAATTTGAACCCATATTCCCACTTTGTTGTCCTTTTCCTGAAAATCTTGTCGATCTTTTGACCATTCTTTTAGTAACAAGTATTGCCCGGACCATGTATTCCTTTGGAGAATCTTTCTCTTATCGGCCTCTGATTGGAACACGAATTGGAATGTATTCTGCCCTATCACCCTTGTTTGGAAAGGTTTCTCTGTGTGCCAGATTATTTGTAATTGTCGCTGGTGATGCTGTGGCCGCAGTTAACAACTTAACATGTGATTAACCTAACATTGGTTAGTTTAATTAATCTTTAGTGGCTTGGTCGAGTTAGATTAATATTATCCAACTTGGTCCACAATTTTCTTAAATCTCTATCAAAAATAAAATGAATATTTTGCTTACTCAGTAAAGCTTTTGTTTTATAAGGTGAGCAGTTCATTCAAAGTGCCTTTCCACCAAATAGAAAAAAAACAACTCTTGAAATAAGTTTTCCCCAGTTATACACAACCCATTGTAAGCATCACACACCAGAAAAATTTTGCAGATTAATCGTTAGATAAATACATACTTATGTTACAAAATATTATACTTTTGTTCATATAGTTTTTAAGAATAATATTTCAGTATAAAAATATGCGCATATATTAGAAAAATACAACATTTAGCATTAAAATATGCATATATATTAAAAAAAAAAAATCCAGCAGAACATTAGACTTGCTAACACAGTAAATATAGTAAAAGACACACTGCTAACCATGCATACATTACACATAATAAATGGCCAAGTTTGCAATTCTTTTTCTGCAAATAAGTACAACATAGACAGAGAAACCAGCAGTATATATATAAAACTACAGATAACAACCAAGCCAGTATCACCATTTTAATTCTTCTGAGCTGTACAATAATGGTTTTTTTTAATTTAACATAGCCAAGTAGCCCCAAGAGAAAAAGTTTGTCCCGAAAACAAACATCAAGCGCTAAAACCCTTATGGAGAGAGCTCCAAGAGAAAGACGGTAAACTAGTGCACGCCTGTGCAGATACCTCGGCCATCTGTTCTTCATTGACTCCCGCATTGCAAATATTTGCAATCGAGCGCATGTGTTTCATGCCATATTGGGATAGGGACCCACAATGTGTCTCGAATGTTCTTACCTGTGTGAAGTGTAAGGGAAAAAATAGTTTTTCTTAGACAAAGAGGACAGCATTATAATTGTTTATTAGCTTGTGATTATGGTTTGACTACAAATCACCCTTGGATTTAAACACGAAATTCCACAGGTAACATGTTTAATCAATTCTAATGAATGACAAGTTTAGTTATTCGCATAATCTGATTTATTCGCATTCTCTACAATTTAATGTTTAGGTATTTTGTATTAGTATCTATTTGGGTATCTTTTGCAAGTTAAGTACCAAAGGTAACCGATAAACCAAACCTCAGGTAATTGTTATTGTTCTAATTATCCTCTAATGGATTATGATTTTTGAAAAGTAAAATTCAGGGTTAATTGTTTGGACAAGGGCTGAATGAATTACAGCATCTTACCAGTGATTTAAGGCAATTCCAGTTATCAACGAGAGGCTCTCCAGCGGGTCGAACTTCTTTCAGAACAAGAGGACCTTTCTTGATTCCAAAAAGAAGCTTTCCAATAAGTTTGATACTGTTGTCAATATGTGTTCGGTGAGCCATGGCCTCAACAAGCTGCTTTTGGGCCTCGAGTTTCCTAGCAGAGCCTTCAGGAGCCTTACGAAACTGCCATAGGGGAGAAATGAATAAAAGGCAAACGCAAGTATGAAACATTATGAATCGAGTCATTTTTTTTTATTTTTTATTTTTTTTTAACCGAGTCAAAGTTAATCATTTGGATATGAGTGTACAACATACCTTGTCCCAAAAATGTACAAGATCAGCATCACGTTGATTGACGGCTTTTGAAAAAGATAGCCGCAAAGAATTGTTGTTATCCACAAATGTATAGTTATCATTTGCAGGATTCGTACCCATATACATGAAGAGATCCTCCAAGCTCAGCTTGAGATCACCATATTGCATTACATGGGAGCCATAATAAGAATTTCCATTAGCAGTTCTTTCCTTCACCTGTAAATGCCAATACAATTCAATTCACTCACCCTCAGAAAATCACAAGAAAACAACAGTATTGAAAAATAAAAAAAAATAAAAAAAGATTTAACAAGATCTGACCAGCTGATACTGTTGCCTCAGAGTTTCAGTCCGAAGATTGTGTATGTCACTGTAAAACAAAACCGGATAAAGAACTAGACATACATCACTTAAATCATATACTCATTTTTGTCAAATTCTTTTATCTGCTGAGGGATAACCTTTTCTAAGTGAACACAAAGATTTTCAACAAGCAAGTCATATCGATAAAACATTCCGAAAACAAATGATGAGGAAATTCAAATGCACGTTTAAAAAATAATAACCAATTAAAATAAGAAAATTAATACGTACCTGTCTTCCATCCATGCAACACTATACAGGTCTCCCAAGCAGGTCTCATATTCAGGGGGAGGACTTGGAATATCTCCAGGGCAGTAAGTTCCCCAGCTACTCTCTTCTGCATTAGATGCTGTGGTCGCGTATATGTTCAAGTCCTCAGGAAGAAGACCTTCAAATATACTTCCAGATTCACAAGCTTCAAGGTAAAACACCTATAAAATAGTAATTGCTATAAGGTTTTCATATCATAAGATACGACTACTGACAGAGAAAACAATTTCATTCAGAAATTTGGAATCCAACAATTTGATATACCAAACTCTTATACGTTCCAGAAGCATGCTTCTTTTTAAAAACATTGATCAGATCATCGGCATAAAGGTAAGGATTGGTAGGCATCCCTGAAAAATATGCCATTGCAATTACAAGTATAGTTAGTAACAAGGACAACAAATAATAGACTCAACGTACTAGGAGCAAATTATCAAACCTTACACAATGATAAGATAACAGATCTCGCCTAGGTAGAAAAAAAAAAGTAAAATCATAAAATCACAGATCGATATTCTACTGGAAATACCATATAATGAAAACCGGCCCCCAGGTGTAAAATTTCTACCAATAACAATTAAATGAGAAATTCAATATATGCAACTACAAATAAGTCTACCCTTGTAAACAGATTTTGATTGTGCATATGCTTTTAGAATATAAACATATAGCCTCGCATGGTCGTTTGTTAGCTCCAATAATAGAGTATGACATATCAATAAGAAACAAGTTCAGATTGGGTAAAAAAAAAAGGGAAAAAAAAGGGGGAAAAAATGTTCGAGCCTTGTTCACATATAGTGTATTTGCAAGTTCAATCCAAACTTGATTGTTTAAGATGGCATTCTTCCTCCATCACTCGTCGTTACTCATCTTATTAATTCAAAAAATAATGAACAAAGGCAGTTAAAAGATTCATACAGACACATGATTCTATAAGGATATTACTAACCAAGAACCCCTGGGCCACCATGATCCGAGTAGTATATGAATATATGATCATTTGGACCACTGTCAACAACTTTTCCACTGCCGCCAGTAACTGCTGATTTGTTGCCGAGAAGGACAGCAAAAAAGTTGTCCACAGTCACATCATCTCCAACATAATCCTGTTTCATAAAAACTCAGCGTGTGGAAATGAAAATAAAAATGTAATTTCAAATTTAATTAATCAAGGGGCATGGAATGGACCTTTGGAACTCCGTTATATACATCATCACCATGAGGACTGTTAATGATGATTCCAGGTCTCGGATTCTCTTCGTTATTTGCAATGTCATCGTACATAAAGACAACAATGTTTTCATCTTTGAGGCCACCTTTTTTTAGGATTTGATACGCATGGCAAACATCAGCCTGTTGCAACATTTACAGCATTATTAGTGTCAGCAGTTGGAGGAAAATCTGACAACCAAACTTTATATAATTTCCAGGCCGAGCTTATTTCTATGCAGAAACTACAGGTAGCACAAACTGCTGTTATATACACAATAGTAATAAAGTTCGACATTACCCCTTTTTGTTTTATTCGCAAAATAGTTGTCCAAATTCCTCGGCTCGAATAATTCAAACTTGGTCACAACAGATCAAGAATTCAACTGTTTTGGGTAAATAGAATTATTTACTATGATGTTATTTTCATTAAAAGGAAAAGCATACAATCACTAGTTATGTTTCATTGGAATGGATCTCTATTAACTTCATCCAAATAATTTTCTGCATGGTTCAAGATTCATAATCAACTTCTCTAGAACTTTGAAAGAGAAACAATTCAATGACAAGCAAATGGAGATGCACTTGGAAAAAGACATTTTCAAAAGCAACATTGGGTTAATATCAACAATTAAATGTCAGCTGCTCATCTGGGCCCATTTAAACTTGTCATAAGAGTAAAGTCTTAAACTACGACAATTAAAAAGAACTAGTCGTGGGCCTCCTAATATCAATAATTACTACCAACTTGTTGATGATGAGCTAAGTCTAAATAATATATTAGATAAAATTGCAGAAAACAAACTTTTGCACTACTGTAATATCAAGTTACTAGTAAACCCAAATACTAACAATCAGAAAAATCAATGAAAACTTGATGAAGAAAAAACTGTGATCTCAATGCACATACTGTTTGTTTAGACCATATATTGTACGTATAAACAGGTATTTTTTTAAAAAAAAAAAAAAAATGGCCAAAACAAACAATTGAAAAACAAACTGAAAATCCCGAAAAAATTCGACCCTAATCGTCACCGGACTTTTTACAGTTGGATCGGCACACACATGCTAGTGCGTTTGAGTGTGTGCGTGTGTTATCAAAAGTAAAAGACCCCGTTTTTATTTTGCCATCAATGAACTGCAAATAATTTGATAGACTATGATACTTGCCCAAATTAGTATTCAGCTGCAAATCATAATCCACAAAGGAAGCTACAACCTGGATTAAAAATAGTTATATCTAACACACACACACACACAGATGGAGAACTGGATTTAATTATTAAAAAAAAAAAATAATAACTGGATTTAGTACTGATAACATAATAGGATAAAATTCAGGTCATCCGGTGAATATTAATCATCACCTGGTGACGATAATTCCAATAGCCACTCGACCCAGCCAACAAGACGGCCCATCTCGTACCAACGGAATCGCCGTCAGCTGCACCGTCTCCGGCCTCTGGGCCGCTGAAGAACCGGCGAGCTTCAGAAGGGAGCTTGATGAAATCACGGCAATCTGCGACGAACAAGACCGAGAGCACGAGAAAAACAACGACACAGGTAGACGGAGGAGTCATAATCGAACGTCGCCGGCGAAGAATAAATTATAAATAATGGATTATTAAATGTGGATAATTTGTATGGTATAATAGGGACGAATTTGATGATTATGTATAGAGAAGGGGAAGGAAAGTTTATACGACACCGTATTCGTGACTATAGTTATTGGGTGGGGGCCTCATTGTTGACTTCAGCCTTCAAACAAGCTCCCACAAGATTAAGACTAGAAAACTCCAATAATTGAGACCCACAAAATTCGAAGAAATGAGAATGACCAATGACTAAAAAAACACAATAAAATCACAATTAAATATAATAAAGTCCTTCTCATATCTCAAATAGATCTCCACTCCTACCAATACCACACAACCCATTAAGACGAGGCAACAAATAGTCTCCGAAACACCAAATTGGCATTGATATAAAAAATGGAAAATATAATATGAATTTAACAATAAATAAAATAGATAAAGGACGTAGAAAAAATAAAATGAAAAATGTATACATTTATTATGTATTAGAAATAAATAAATATTCTTGAAAAATGGATATCCAAATTTTTTCATGGTGCAAGTAGACATATCTAATTCTGTCAATCACTCTTCATTTTATTATTTCATATGTTATCAATTTTTATCAAATGATATGATATTATCAATTTCTACATTTTTAAAGGTATTCATTTCAAATTCTCCCAATTCTAAAATTAAAATTTTTCACCATTTTATTGTGCATAATGAAAAGTTCATCTTCTATATATCCATTCAACATGAACATTTCCCTAAAAATTACCAAAAAAACGGATAATATGTCCACTGTTTGAATTTTTTTTTTAAGAAAAAAGGAAAAAAGGTATCATAATCGAATCTTCTGAATGCAACTCTTATTTTACTCAAATCCCTCTCATCAACAAGATCAACAGATACATTTTATTATTTTTTTTCTTTACACAAGCAGAAGCAAATTTCAGTACATTTTAATCCAAAGACCATTTTAAAATTTATGTTCATCGAATACATATGGGTTTGAATTCATTACAATTCGATTCATTACAATAGGATAGTTGTCACTGATCGGTTATGATGAGAACTTCATAATGGGCCTTACAGACGTCATAAAAGCACTGAATGGGTTGGGCCGCCTAAACCCCATGTCACCAGATCGAGAGAAAACCGTTTGAATGAAGTCCAAATTCTTCGAATATTACACTCGTGACTCAGCAAATTACAGTCGTGTGACTAAATAGAACAATACAACTCATTCCCTATTGAGAGATTCTCGACAGGATGTAAACGACATTACATTGCTTTTCACTATAGAACATAAAAGACGGTGAGTCGTCTAAACAAAATCAAATCAAATTAATGCTGCAAAAAGAAAATTAACCTAAATGAACTACAAAAATTATGCAAGTTATGCTTACAAACAACTGGAGCAATGTCCTTTTACTGAATAGTATACAAAAAGCTTGAAATAAACTCAAGATTAACTTTTAAGAAGAATCTTGATCAATTTTTGGCGAAACTTAACTTCGAGTTAGCCATATTTAATTAATTATACATATAGGCAATTATTCAATACCAGATCATGTTCAGCTCCACCTAAGGGTGTTTAAGTTCCATCTAAACTTGAGTCTAAGATTTGACTCAGGTGCTCAAAAGGCTGCTTTGTTTAAGAGCCTACTAGAAATTGGCCTGAAGCAAAAGAAAAAATTAAACTAGATGGGCTAAAAATGTAGTGTACCTATGCCCCAAACAAATTTAAGTAAACATTTAGGATTAGGAAAAACAAACACAAACACAATCGATGAAGCAAAAAAAAAAGACAATGTGCTCAGAAGCCAAGCGCAACAGGTAGATTTCATAGAGGAAATCAACACAAAGCTGACTTCCTCTTACATGTTGACAGCTCATCATCGCTACTAATCAAAATCCAGTTCATTTTCATGCCCAGAAATCAACGCACAAAGACACAGCTGAAATTCGGCAAACCTCACTACAAATTATGTGCATAATTTAATCAATTGAGCTATAAATAAAAAGAAGGATCAGAACCCATCAGTATTAAACCATAAAAGATCCAAATTTTACACTGCACGAAAATTGAATTTAAATAGACAATTCAAGTGCAGAAAAAAATCTAGCTACTGAAAATTTGAAGTGAAGTTTTGATGAATTTATTACTTCCTCCAATCGTGATTAAGTAGCATTATATTGGCACTATGCAAAAGGTGGCTTGTCACTGTATATACGAAGCCCCCGTGTCTGACTGGAGTGCCTTTTTAACACCTTCAAAAAATTAACGTAAAATTCAACGTATCCGGACAACCTCGAAATCAATAAATATACGAAATGTGACCAGTTTATTGTATCACGAAACGACGGAAATCGGATCCCGTGGGTCTTCAAACGGGTCGGATCCATTTAGGCTCCAAGCGGCAGACGGGTTGCCATGGATATGGGCACCTGCTGCTGACTCGATATGGAGCCATTGACGAAATCCTCAAGCTATAATTCGAAAAAACAATGGAGGGTTTTGATTTTGATTGCTAACGATCAAACAAATGCAGGCGATTAGAAGTAATTTTGGTGATTGGATCTGAAAAGTGGTTGAAAGGGGGTAGAGGGAGACGGCCGCCATAGCCATGGAGGGAGCTGAGCTGAAATGGGGTCTGAGAGTGTAGAGCTGGATATATATAGTGGAACCCTAGGGCTGGAATTGAAAATTTGAAACCTTTTTTTGGTGGGTGTTTTATTTACTGTTGAGGACAAAAGTTTGGGTTTATAGAAAAAGGAAGCCAAATCTATTACTATATAATACGGAGAAGAAAAATTATTTGAACAATCCGAAAATAATCATTTCGTTTTCCCGCTTCAATATAGTATTTTTCCCGCTTCTTCAATTCGTAAAATTTTTTTTTTTGAATTTTTTCAGCCCATATAATTAGGTAACCAATCAAATCAAATCTTTTAGCATTCAATTTGGTAAGGTGTTCCGATTTTAGCATTCAAATCCGATTTCACTTCCTTTTTTTATGCCAATCAATCCGATTTTTTTGGTTGTTTCAAAATTTGTTTAGATTTATATTTTTATTTTATTAATATATTTGAAAGAGAATCAATAAATGTTTATCATAATTTTTATTTTAAAAATAAATTTGAATAAGCATACCTTTTACTTTATATGAAATTCAAAATTACATATTTTAATATATTAATAAACGTTTATTATTTATTTTTTCCTTATGTGATATAATAGAATTTCGGTATTAAATTTGTAAATTCAAACAATTAAAGGAAAAGATTCCAAACAATTTTTTTGGGTAAATTTCATTTTATCTTGGTTTTCATTATCACATTTCTAACAAACTAATTAGTATTATATTTTTTTATCTACATTATCTAACCGATTTATTATGATACAATTAATATAATATCTTAACAAATTAATCATTTGTCTAACCGGATTTATCTCTCTCACAAACTTACCATTTTTTTAAGATTAAAATGGTATGATTATTCTTATCGAGATACTTATCAATATATTAAATATTTAGAAACTTTTTTTAAAAAATGAGTTATCCCTCCTTTTACTTTATTTGAAGTTCTGACTTATATTTTTAAATATATTATTATTTATTTTTTTACATGTAAATATTTATTATTTATTATCTAAGTGATAAATATTATTAATTTATCTATTTAATAAATATTTATTATTTATTTTTTTCCTTACGTGATATAATGTAAATTTGGTTACTAGATTTTTAAATTTATACATTTAGGAAAAAACCACGAACAAATTTTTTGGTTACACTTCATTTTACTTTAACTTCCATATAATCACAATCCTAACAAACTAATTAGTATAATATTTTTTTACCCATTTTTATATAATCGGATTTCTTAAAATATAATTAATATAACATTTTAACTATTTAATCATTTGTATAACTTGATTTAACTCATTATCAAACTTGCCAAATTTTTTTGAAATTAAAAAAGATTTGGAAGATTTTTATTTGTAAAATAATAAAAAATAGCTTTACTTTAAAGTCTAGATTATTTCCATTATTTTTTGTACGTTAACAATCATATATTTTGGATTATTGATTTAAACAAACAAATCAAAACCGTAAGGTTTAATAATATTCCTTAAATAAAAATTATTGTATAAAGAAAAGTATTTAATATTATATATTTTTTATTGATTGTATTTATTTTATTTTCATAATAGACGAGATGTGAAAAATATAAATAATTATATTTAAAATAAAGTCTAAAAAATGTTTAAAATATGAACTCTTCCGTGCATCGCACGGGATATACACTAGTCCTAAATTGGAAGGAAGATACATTTACTCCTAAAATTTTAGAATTACTCCATAATCGATTAATTATTTTGAATTTTTGCAGTTGTATCTTAATTGTTTTGATATGTGATTTTAGCTCAATTACTCCATGCCTTAGCTTGAGTCAATGAAATTAAATTCATCATCAGTTTGATAAATTAATTAAAAAAAATAAACAATAGTTTATCAACTATCAAATCAATTGATATGATCATTATTAACTTATGATGTATTTGATAAGTCTAGCTTGAAACACTTATATAAACTTATAGTTTGTACATTAATTGATAGCAGTAAATTAGTTTCAAGTTTATATTTGATAGCTTATGACTAGTGTTATTAAAGTAAATGAGTCTGGCTCGAGTTCGAGGCTTTAACGCGTCAAGCTCGAGCTCATTTAAAGTTCATTTGGTTAACGAGCTGAGCTCGTATCGTTAAGTTCATTTGATTAAAGCTTGAGCTTGGCTCGGCTCGTTTATAACTCTATTTATGTTGATAGCTGAAAAGTAAGTTAATATAATAAAATTTCTGATAAAATAAATTGATAATCAACTAAATTGAAATATGCAACATACAATTTGAAAAGCTAAATAAACAAGCTTATGAGATAATACTCATTTTTTAATTTTCATTTATCAAACCAAGTTATTTGAATACGAGAAGTAGTAAGTTCATCAACTAAGTTATAAGTTTTGTTTGACTATGAACTGATAGCGGATAGTTGATTGTATTATAAATTGTAATAGATGATTTGACTAGCGAATTATATTAAATGTTTGTAAAAACTTTGAAAATCTAAGGTTGATATGCAATTGTACGAAACATCTATTTTCAAAATGTTCTTATATTGATTGTGTTTAAATGTTAACGAATTGGTGTAAAATTAACTTACTAGACTTTATTTTGAGGATTGACTCGTCAAATCAGTTAATTAGCTTGTTTTGTAAATAGCTTAATTGATTAATTTTTTTGCCCATAGAACCAATTGTATATATATATATATATAAAAAAAAAAGTATTAAAAGCATTTTTAGAAG